CAGGAGGCTGAATATTGTTTTGCTTGATGGTGGATACCCCTGCATGGGAAGCATTTTTGTTGTTTGAACTTTCTTAAATAAAAGTGGGCAAAAAAGCCCTGAAAAGAAAGCGAGTTGCTGTGTGCTTTACAAGAAGAGCTCTACCCTTTGAAGCGAGTTCCCACATATGGTGGAGGATGCGGGCAGAACTGGAGATCCCAGCAATGAAGTAAGTTCATGTGTTGAACTGTGTTTGGTGCATGACTCTGCACTATCTGTGTGTGCAGGTGAGGAGATCCTGCAAGAGAAAAGGAACTTGCCTTAAAGAGACAGTGCTCCATTGTGTACCAGGACTGTGCAAAAGTGTTGTGGAGTGACTGCAAAGATGGGGCGGTCAAAACTCAAAAAAGAAGCAAGCTTTTCTGAAATGAGAGACAGAGCCCTGTGGCTGGAGGGGTTGTTACCACCAGAACAAGCCCCATACATGGCTGCACAGAGTTTGCCACAGTGGGAAGTGCATGCTGTTGTCCCTGGCAATGCTGGTGAAAGGAAACCAGTTTTCTGTGTGCAGAGTACTAAGCCTGAAAGAGGATGCAGTGTTGGAAGTTCGGCCAAGATACTGCCGCAAGAGCGCTGTTTGCGGTGCAGTGAATGGGGGCACACTGTCTCCAAGTGCCCATTATCCCAGCTTCCAATACAAGGTGACAGAACCAGACAAAGGTCTGGGTATGCAATTGGGAAGCCTGCTTGGAGTTCCAGGAAGGAGCAGCAGGCTGCCCAAAAAGTTTCAGAAAAATGTGGTTGCCCATAGCAACACATGTTACTTCAGGCCTGCGGACCCTGTGAGAGAAGTGTTGTCTGCAGAGGATTGTGGCAACGCAGGGATGAGAGTTCAGCACATCTGGAGGAACCCCCACAAAGTTCAGCTGGGAGAGTGCCATCTCCCATAGCAACAGGAGAAAGCCTGCCAACCAGGAGAAGGGGCTACAAGGGAGATGTGGTTCCGTATCCCAAGAAGGTTATCGGTGGAACCATACCCTGCCTGGAATGTGGTCAGTTTGGGCATGGTATCTTTACCTGCCCCAGATTATGGAATACCACTGATGAGGGTGGTACTGGGCAAAAGTCTTCATCTGCAAGCCCAGATTCGTGTTTAAAAATGTTGGCAGCCACCTCTAGCAACAGTGAGGAAGTACCTGTTGTGCCTGCAGGGGGTGCCAAGGAGTCAGAAGTGCCTGCCACAGTATCACCCTATAGCTGCATGGATGAACTGGCTGGCCAAAGAGAGGAGATGACAGAAAGGATCCAGATCCCACGCACTCAAGTGAAGAAGGTGAAGCCTGTTGAAGTGATGGGTAAGACTGGTACTTTTGAGAAAAATGTGAGAGATACTAATGCACTGCTTGAGACTGAACTTGAGACACTCTGCTATAAATATGGGATACTCCCAGTTGGGAAACCCACTGCTGGTGATTGTGAGAAAGACTTGCCTCTGTATAATGCTGTTAGTAGGGAGGCAACGGTTAAAAATGTCAATGCGAAGAGTACTGATATTGGGGTTGCACCAATGTCATCTAAAGAGAATGCTGAATTAAATGTAGTAGGGGTGACCACTAAGCAGAATGTGTTATCTCCCCTAGCAACGGTGGTTAAGGTAACCCAGGATAACTATGGTGTTGCTCTGGTGGACCAGAGTGTATCTGAATTGAGTGATGAGAGTTTATTTCAGTGTGGCAATGGTGAATCTAAAAGGTATGAACGTATTCATAATGATGATGGGTTAATGCAATCCAATAATGCAAAAGTTTTTGTAGTGAATGACACGCCACTAGGTCACAGTGGTGAGAGTAAGAAATTGCAACCTGCTGTGCCTAGAAATGGAGTCTCCCAGTGTGATATGGATAATGAAGATATAGGTATTGGATCTGATACAGAGCCACTCTGTCCCTCTGTGTCTCCTTCAGCGGTTGGAGTGGTACTGCGTAGTACCTCTGATGTGATCACAGGGACGATGGACTGGGACAGATGGGCAACAAGCTTGTTGGCATTAATAAAAGATGCCTCTGTGGGTAACAATGGGGTGGACATGGTTTCTGCTGTGCTGAATAGAGGGACTGTGGAGCAGCTATTAGTCCAGGGCGCACCTGTCGCTGCCAAAATTAACCCACCGCTGGTAAAAGGCACCATTGAGGATAAACGCTCAGCAGAAGTTTTGCCCACAGCCCATAAAGGAGTTAATGGTGTGGTGTACCAAACTGATATCCATAGAAAAGCCGTGGAAGAGCTCATTGACACTGAGCCTCAGAGTATTTGGGTGAATCCCACACCTGGTTACGCTCTGGGAGAGCCCCAGGTTATTGTGTTGGGTACCTCCAGCCGAGAGGAAGCCTCGTTAAGAAGCCCCACCTCTGAGGCATCAGTAAATGAGTGTCTCCATGTCCCCAGGAAGGTCTTATGTGTGGAATCAGGCTGTCTTTTTATAACAGACCTGCTGAAGGAAATGTTGGCTTTCTGGAGTGTACAGCCGGTGTATACCTTGCTGTCTCTTCCATGTTCGGGAGAGCTGGTACAGTGGAGTCCCGCTAATCGGAGCTTGGTATTACAGGCTATACAAAACAAAGATGGTCAATATAGGAATTCTGTGATACCATCCTTGTTGGTAATGGTGAAAATTGTCTTTCAGTGCATTGCTGGGTTGCTTCATAGCAGTAATCTGTATGAGAGGCACACCAGAGTACTGTTGGACAGGACAGAGGTTTTGGCAGAAGTGCCAGAAGACACATGTATATGTGATGTGGTTGGGGTCGTCAACCCTAATGTAGCATTAGGTAAGGATGGTTTGGCATCAGGACAGTTGCTGGCAGAGTCTTTTGTGACAGCGAAGTCAGTGGGTAGTGAAGTTTCCATGGGAGACACCCACTCTGCTGTGTGTAATTCCTCTACAGAAACTGCCCTGCCAACTACTAGTGAACTGAGTTCTGACAGGAGTATTTTGGCTAATGAAAAAAAGGGAAATGTGTTAATGAATTTGGATTGTCTGATTACTATGTGTGATAACAAAAAGAATGGTAGACCTGGTGGTCAAGTTGACATGGTAGCTGGTCATCCTGAAAAAGGTAATGAGTGCTTAACAGACACAAGAGAGGTTAAGAGTCTGGAAATAGGCCCCCTACAGGTTCAGGAAGGTCACTCTGGAAAAGTTTTCCAAAGGTCCCGTAAACGCCCAAGTTGTAAGAATGAAAGGTCTAAGGGAACTGTCCCAAAGCTTAACAAGGGGATGTTAAAAGTGTTTGATTCCCAAATAAAAGAGCCCACCTCTATTACTAAAGGGTCTAAAAATATAACCCCATCAAAATTAAATAAAGCAAAAAGGGATGGTCTAGAGGAATTTGAGGGAGCATGTTGTAATGTTACAGGTACCAGGCATTTGAAGCTTAGGAGTCAACCCCGGGTTACAAAGGGTACTGAGATTTGTAAACCCCCTAGTGGTAAAAGGACTAGCATAGTCTTAAGGAAATTAGAAAGACCGCGCTTTTGGAAGCACACTCGTAAAAAGGCACGGGGATGTCGTAGAGCCCAAGTAAGGGGAGACAGGGGAAGTCACCTCTTGGGGCAGGGAGTAGTGTTTCCCTTTGATGAAAACGAAGTCAGCCAGGATTGGACCTCTACAGGTGATAGCCCGCACAGAAGGCCTAAAGCAAGGGTTTTAGGTTTGTGTGTTCCGCCCCCTACGGGGTCAAAACAAAGGGGGGGGATATGTGGCAGTGCGGTGTCCTGCCACGGCCAAAATAAAGCTGAAAACCCTGGATTCTCAACCAAGCAGGTTGAGGGGCTCCAGAGAGTTGATGGATTGCAGAGGAAACTGGCTTTTCAGTTTCCTCATTTACTCATTAAGTCTGTTTTGGGATCTGGAGCCTGGAGATTTCAAAGAGATCTGGGAGGGATGAAATCTCCAATCCGGGGTCCGTGTTTTGAGAACCCCCAGCACACTGATTGCACAGGTGTGTGCAGGCCTTTTTATAGAGGACTAACCCATGGTTCTGGGCTCCACCCCGGCAGAAGGAGTCAGGCGGGCTCCACCCCGGCAGACAGGAGGTCTCTGCCGTGGAGTCAGGTGGGCTACACCTAGGAGAGGTGGAAGCCAAAAGCAGCAAGGGGCTGCTACAGACTAGCGGTGTGCTAGTGACATATTTTGGGAAGAGTCTGCAGGAGGCAGACTTAAAACTGCGTACAAGCCAGGAGGCTGAATATTGTTTTGCTTGATGGTGGATACCCCTGCATGGGAAGCATTTTTGTTGTTTGAACTTTCTTAAATAAAAGTGGGCAAAAAAGCCCTGAAAAGAAAGCAAGTTGCTGTGTGCTTTACAAGAAGAGCTCTACCCTTTGAAGCGAGTTCCCACAATATTAAAAAATATATGAAAAATATTTTTTAAAAATACATTTTCAAATATATGCCTTTAAAAATACATGCCTTAAAAAAATCGGCCGATTTTCGTACCGTCTACGGCCGGCATTTAATTACTTCTGTCCCTGCAGAGAGCTCCGCTATTATATTTGACATGAAAAAGTATTGCGGTTGCAACATTGTATCTATTTGTATCCACTTCGGATACAGATGGTTTTATTTGGATACAAATAGATACATTGTTGCAACTGCAATACTTTTTCATGTCAAATATAATAGTGGACTGGAATTCTTCTTTTTCTTCTTCCTCTTCTCCTTCTTTTTCTCTTCTTTTTCTTCTTCTTCCTCCTCTTCTTCTTTTTCTTCTTCTTGCAGGTCATGGCTAATGCGCCGATTTTTTATCGGTAAAACGATCGGCTGATTTTTTTCCAACTTTACCGATGAAAACAAATGTGCCAAAACCCCGAAAAACGGCCGACCAATTAACCCACTAACGTTTTTTTTTCCGGCCGAAAAATCGGCCGATTTTCGACCCGTCTGTGGCCTGCATTAGTAGTATTAGAAAAGACAGAAGATTTAAAGTCTCTTAAAAAGCGTTGTGTTTCTGTGCATACAGATCGACAACCCCTGCGATGAGCCCGATCGATTGAGCAATCGGCTGCTGCAGTATGACCCCATCAGGGACAAGTGGACGCAGCTGGCTCCCATGAAGTATTCGAAATATCGCTTCAGTGTGGCAGTTATGAATGGAGAAATATTTGTATTAGGTAAGTGTGGGAGGAAAAATAAAAGAATAAAAGAGTGTGCGTGAGAATGTCCAATTTCAAGGGAATGTCCATTCTTGAACGTTGAACTCCGGGCACAAACAATGTCATAAACGTATATTCCTCCACAGCCGCAAAGAATATAAATCTACTTTGTGTGCTCCAAATAATTTCGCAAACCCAGGTATTACCTTGTAAAAGTAGTAGTGACTATCACTGTGCTGTACATCGTGTGTACAGAGAGATGAGCTGTGGGAGGGGCCCAGTAGGCTCCACCCACTACAGAAAATGACAGGAGGGGACGGAGACAAGACCAAGTACCCTGCACAAGGAGAGAGAGAGCGGAGATGTGAGAGGGTCCCATTAGACTCCACCCACTACAGAAAACTACAGGAGGGGGCGGAGACAAGACCAATTACCCTGCACAAGGAGAAAGAGCGGAGCTGTGGGAGTGTCCCATTAGACTCCACCCACTACAGAAAATGAAAGGAGGGGCGGAGACAAGACCAATTACCCTGCACAAGGAGAGAGAGCGGAGCTGCAGGAGCGTCCTAGTAGGCTCCACCCACTACAGAAAACTACAGGAGGGGGCGGAGACAAGACCAATTACCCTTCACAAGGAGAGAGCGCGGAGCTGCGGGAGGGTCCCAGTAGGCTCCACCTACTACAGAAAACTACAGGAGGGGGTGGAGACAAGGCCAATCACCCTGCACAAGGAGAGAGAGCGCAGCTGTGGGAGCGTCCCAGTAGGCTCCGCCCACTACAGAAACCTACAGGAGGGGCGGAGACAAGACCAATACACTGCACAAGGAGAGAGAGTGGAGCTGCGGGAGGGTCCCAGTAGGCTCCAGCTACTACAGAAAACTACAGGAGGGGCGGAGACAAGACCAATCACCCTGCACAAGGAGAGAGAGAAGAGTTGTGGAAGGGTCCCAGTAGGCTTCACCTAATACAGAAAACTACAGGAGGGGCGGAGACAAGACCAGTCACCCTGCACAGGACAAGAGAGCAGCAGTGAGCGGTCTTTATTACAGGAAGCTCCTGCACAGAGGCAAAGTCTCACACTGGATTCCTGCACAGAACTGGAAAAAATACACAGAGCACTCCGAGATTCAAGGAAAAAAACATGATGAACGGATTTAGATACACATTTCCTAATCCTGGAACTCAGTTTGAAGTTCATCTGGATCTCTCCATATATTTCTTCAGATGTCCAGACATTTATAATCTCTAGTGATCACAGAACTCCCGCTGACAATGCCGTTGTCTGCTTTTATCTCCAGAAGGACGGAACCATCTTTGTTCAGCCATCTCAGTAACCTTTCAAGTCCACTAAATAAATTGCTGACATGGCACAATATACAGGAACGGTATCATTATTCAAACAAGCTTCACCTTTTATCAAGAAAACACCATCCAGTCCAGGGACCTTGGCTAGGCTGGAGTGATGTCATCAATCTACTGCAGACAGGAAGAAGCGTTCCATCGGGGCGCCATTTCCAGAGAACGCGTGGTGAAATTGCTGTGTGCGGTGCACTTTTCAGCCCATTCATTTGAACAGGCTGAAATCACATGGGATCACACTAAAGGTTGTGCATGCACTACCTCTGATATGAGAAATAAGCAAAGCATATCCTTCTTTAGTGTGTACTTGCCTCTATCCAAAGCACAATGTATAATTTCTGTCTGCTCTTTCATTCCTCTGCTATCTGCATGAGTCACTTTTGACAGCCTATGCTAACACCAGATAATCCCAGGAGCCAGCCTACTCCCCTCCAGCACACAGCCTGTGATTGACAGTCTCATCTGTCTATATTTCCTATGAGACTTTAAAGAGGAGGTGTGTCCATTTTCTTCACTCAGGTCACAGATTACACTCAGCTCCCTGCTCTATGCGGTGCAGTATGTGACATCAGATCCTTCTGAAGCTCAGAAATGCTGTGTAAACTGCACACTTTGAATGGATGTAGAGGAGAGAGGGCTGCAGATAAACAGGTACAATTTATGTAGGAGGATTTGTTTCATCTCCGTGTATCCCCTGAGGCCAGTCACTTCACTGGGTATAGAGAAAGGTTTACAACCACTTTAACTTTTCTGAATTTTGATGGGTTTGCTTTGGGTGAAAACATGCAACCAGAAACGGTTTACATATTATAGAACAGGGGTGTCAAACTCCATTTCATCACGGGCCGTATCAGCATTATGGTTGCCCTCAAAGGGCCAGCTGTTTCTGTAAGACTAGATGTCCATAGCACCCCCCCTCTCCCCCCCCCCATTACATTAGATGTCAGGAATCCCACACCCTCCCTAACATTACCATCCACCGCCTTTGGGGGCAGAGCTGGAAAGCAGAAAGTGCAGGGTCTGGAGGAGGACCAGAGGAGGAGTGGAGTCAGTTACCAGAGTCTGCTGAATGCTGAGGCCAGGGGAGGCACAGATGAGGGGGTGCTGTAGCTGCACTGAGAGGTGCAGAATTTGGCACCTCTCTGCTGCTGAGACAAGGTGGGGGTGGAGACAAGGGGGACACCTGCAGGAGAGGTGCAAGGGCCACATGAAATGGTCTGGAGGGCCGGATTCGGCCCGCGGGCCTTGTGTTTGACACCTGTGTTATAGAACATTAAAAATAAAAACCCTGATGTTACAAGCAGACTTCTGCAGTGGCAAAACGCCAAAATCAAATGTAACTTTTCCTGCCGATCAGTGCATGAAAACACAAATAAGAAGCTATTTCTATGCCTTATTAGTTATTTAGTCCATGTTTTCGTGGCAGTTCCCCTTTAAATTATTTACAAAAACCCGATTTGCATCCAGCCTGTAGCAGATGCTCCTCTAATGATGTGCTCTACACCCCACTTTATACCAGCCTGTAGATACGGATCAGACTGTATATAAATAGCCGTCAAGTCACCTTTACATCTCTATTGCCATTAACACCAAGCGAAGCGCGTAGTCTGTGTGTCACGCATGGCTGAGCCGGCGAGTCAAGAGCATCGTCAAGGACGGCGTGCCAAGAGAAGCCTTAATGGAGCTGAATTTAACATGAGTTTCTGCCGGAACGAGAGATAAATACAAGAGATTTGTTTTACCAGCCTGCCAGAGGGGAGGGATCAATTGGCTGGCCTTAAAGTTGACATTCCTCTTAATGATGAAATATGAGTTTATATTACTGTGAAAGCCGGCCACACCGTGACATTTCTGAAATCCCGAAATCACCATATTAACATTTCCAAGGACGTCCACCATAACAGAATACCATATTGCATTTGACATGCCTAATTGAAATACCTAGTAAACAGCAGCCATATATAAAGGGAATTAGTCATGCTCTCACTAATGGAGTACACAGTGTCCAGTGCACCCTGTACTCAGGTAAAGTACAATACTTCACTTTTTGCAGGGATGTGCCAGCAATAAGGCAAAATGGGCACTCGGTGAGGAAAGTACGGAACACAGCATAGTGCAAGTGGCCTTAGGTAGCATTTAACCTAGGCACGTACCCAATATATATGGCCCAAAAAGCAAACACCTGACCTGGCCATCACACCAAGGCACGCTCCTAACTATATGGTCCAAAGAGTAGACACCTAACCTGGCCATCACATCTAGACACGCTCCCAACTATATGACCCAAAAAGCAGAAACCTGACCTGGCTATCACACCAAGGCATGCTCCTGCCTATATGGCCCAAAAAAGTAGACACCTGACCTGGTCATCACATCTAGAAATGCTCCCAACTATATGGCCCAAAAAGTAAACACCTGACCTGGCCATCACATCTAGACACGCTCCCAACTATATGACTCAAAATGCAGAAACCTGACCTGGCTATCACACCAAGGCATGCTCCCAACTATATGGTCCAAAGAGTAGACACCTGACCTGGCCACCATATCTAGACATGCTCCCAACTATATGGCCCAAAAAGCAGAAATCTGACCTGGCCATCACACCAAGGCATGCTCCTGCCTATATGGCCCAAAAAAGTAGACACCTGACCTGGCCATCACATCTAGACATGCTTCCAACTATATGGCCCAAAGGGTAGACACCTGACCTGGCCATCACATCTAGACACGCTCCCAACTGTATGGCCCAAAATGCAGAAACCTGACCTGGCCATCACACCACAAAAATTGTTTTCCTTTTTCTTTTCTTTTTTTCAATATGTATATTTCATGAAAATATTTTCTGGGTGATGCTGCCATGTAAATCCTTGTACAGGCATTTCTTGTTTTTAGATGATAATGCCCTTTCCCTCTCTTCCAAATGTTCTCCTACATTATCGCGCCGTCACACACCCTCTCGATGTGGACTACAGTTGCAAGAAAAAGTATGTGAACCCCTTGCGATTACGTGGAGTTTTGCATGAATTGGGCATAAAATGTGCTCTGAACGTCATCTAAGTCATAACAATAGAAGAACACAGTCTGCTGAACATAATACTACACAAACATTAGATGTTGCCATGGTTTAATTGCACATAACATGTAAACATTCACAGTGCAGGGAGGAAAAAGTATGTGAACCTTTGGACTTAATAACTGGTTGACCCTCTTTTGGCAGCAATAACCTCAACCAAACATTTCCTGTAGTTGCAGATCAGACCTGCACAACGATCTGGAGTCATTTTGGACCACTCCTCTTCACAAAACTGTTTCAGTGTAGCAATATTCTTGGGATGTTTGGTGTGAATCGCTCTCTTAAGGTCATGCCACAGCATTTCAATCGGGTTGAGGTCAGGACTCGACTGGGCCGCTCCAGAAGGCGTATTCTGTGCTGTTGCAGCCATTGTTTTGTTGAATTACTTGTATGCTTTGGGTCATTGTCCTGTTGCATCACCCATCCTCTGCGGAGCTTCAGTTGGCGGACAGATGGTCGTACGTTTTCCTGCAAAATGTCTTGATAAACTCTGGAATTCATTTTCCCATCAATGACAACAATCCGTCCAGGCCCTGAGGCAGCAAAGCAGCCCCAAACCATGATGCTCCCTCCGCCATGTTTTACAGTTGGGATGAGGTTTTGATGTTGGTGTGCTGTGCCTTTTTTTCTCCACACATAGTGTTGTGTGTTCTTCCCAAACAACTCAATCTTGGTTTCATCTGTCCACAGTATATTTTGCCAGTAGTGCTGTGGAACATCCAGGTGCTCTTTTGCAAACTTTAAACGTGCTGCAATATTCTTTTTGGACAGCAATGGCTTCCTCCGTGGTGTCCTCCCATGTACTCCATTCTTGTTTAATGTTTTCCTTATTGTAGATGTGTCAACAAAAATGTTAGCATGTGCCAGAAATTTCTGTAGGTCTTTAGCTGACACTCTGGGTTTCTTCTTTACCTCATGCAGCATTCTGCGCTGTGCTCTTGCAGTCATTTTTACAGGACGACCGCGCCTAGGGAGAGTAGCAACAGTGCTAAACTTTCTCCATTTGTAGACAGTTTGTCTTACCGTGGACACATGAACATCAAGGCTTTTGGAGAAACTTTTGTAACCCTTTTCAGCTTCATGCAAGTCAACAATAATTGATCGTAGGTCTTCTGAGAGCTCTTTTCTGCGAGGCATGGTTCACATCAGACAGTGCTTCTTGAAACCAGTAAACCCAAAACAGGTGTGTGTTTTTTTAAGGGCAGGACAGCTGTCAGCAACACATCCAATATCATCACACTGATTGGAGTCAAGGTTGGCACACTCCTGGCTCCAATTAGCTCTGGGAGAAGTCATTAAGCTAGGGCCTCACATACTTTTTCCTCCCTGCACTGTGAATGTTTACATGTTATGGTTATGTGCAATTAAACCATGGCAACATCTAATGTTTGTGTAGTATTATGTTCAGCAGACTGTGTTCTTCTATTGTTGTGACTTAGATGACGTTCAGAGCACATTTTATGCAAAACTCCATGTAATCCCAAGGGGTTCACATACTTTTTCTTGCAACTGTAAATGTGGCTATCCTATGAGCATGGTCAACTGTGATCACCATCAGAAAACCTGCTCTGAGGACTGCTATGCAGTTGGAGTGTATATAGAACGGAAGTGGCTGCAAAGAGGCTCCGGATCATCAGCAGCACCAAGATGGAAAAAAAAGGATGAAAAATATGTGAAAACAAATATTTTACAGGGCAGAGTTGTAAAAATTAAGATCAGCTCATAATTTAAGTGAGACAACAAGAAAACAAAAAAAAACATTGCAATATTATGTTTGGGGCTAAAGATGTTGAAAGCAGGCTAGGTTATGAAGGACATTGATAGTAATGAGTCAATTTCATTTAGAGGTGAAAGCAGCATAAGTTACCTGTGGGGGGACAGAGAAGAGATGTTCAGATGATGCAATGCTGAAGTACAATACTTAATCCATGATCAATACATTATCCAAGATGATAATTGCCAGTGCCATCCCTGCCTGCAAGCTCTATTGGGTAGGGCCCCCTGATTCCTTTTGTATTGCATTGCATTGTAATTGTACGGTCTGCCTTCATTTTGTAAAGCGCTGCACAAACTGCTGTCGCTAAATAAATCCTCTATTATAATAAAAATAATAATAATAAAATGGGTGTTCAATTATTTTTAAACTTTAGTAAACTAAATGTCATTCAGTTAAGGTTTGCATCTACTGTAGGTTTATAGGCAATCTCTAATGTCTAAGTCCTGTTCCTGGAGACATGTAGAGGCTATTTTTGGACCCCTAAATGAGATACTTTCAGGGCCCTTCTCGGCTCAGACCACTAGGTACTGCGCATCAAATGCTTTTGCTTCAACCTAAGCCAGTTTGGAGAACAATCAATAAATTGCCTTGCAGTAGTTATTTATACAAAACGTCCGGTGCCTCTTCCGAAAATCTTTGAGAATGTTGTGCTAAATTAAGATCAGTTCCGTTTCCCCGGAAGATATCTATAAACACACCCAACACAAGAACGCAAAGTTGATTTCTGCATAATTAAAACAATGGCATTTGAATTGAGTCTATTTAAGTACCGAAGTTTGATGAAAGACGAAGAAATGTTAAAAAAAAAAATGTCTTTTCTCAGCAAGTGCTTTTGCAGCTTAAAGGAAGGATTTATAGAGGGTGCAAACACAGATTCTTTGATCCATTCTGCTTTATCTCAGAGGATTTCTTAATAAATTCTGGCCTTCTGCGGATTAGGAAATTGAAGACAAAAGGGGAATTATGTTGATTCAACAACAATGACATCAGAATCTGCGTTTTACCTCTTAGTTTGTGGAATTTGAGTCTAAGAGGTCTTTAGAAATCTCGGAGAGTTTTGTTCCTACCAGCTAAGTAATTGGAGCCTCCACGAAGAACTTGGGTTCTAAAGGTTTCTTTATTGTGAACATTCCATTAAGATGCCAGCCCTGAGATACAGCCTCTGCTTCTGGGGCCCTTCCAAGTCCCTGTGAATTGGCTCTCTCTTTGTGGGAACAATGGCTTTAATTTTAGCACAAGCTGCATATAGTGATTTGGGCCTGGGAAAGAAGACTGGATGGGGACCTACATGGAGATGCTTGGTGGGGTGAACCTTTGGTATGGAACATCTATCTTAGCAGAAAGGTGTAGCTGAAAAGAGAACTATACCCAAGCAGTTCAATATATGTGGATTGTGTCCCCCAAGGTTTTTAAAAAATTGGGGACGTCTTTTTTTTTTTTTTTTTGCCCTGGGCTCATGTTACAGACAGTGTGATCTTTCACTAGTCAAGCTAGGCCAACATGTCATATCAAGCTGTGATGACTATTGCAGCTTTCAAAACCAGCTCAGGTCTTCTATTTAGGACATTTCAGACAGTAAACTGTGAAAGCTATTCCGCAAACACTAGGACTGTGCTTTATGCATTCCCACTCAGCCCTGGCGTCCCTTTAACTGGGTCTTTTTGCCCGAGTGAAGGACTGCCCAATAACATGACCACTGTGATTGATCACTGCTAAAAATTGGGAGCTATCTATAACAGCTCAGTCATTCTGCTGGAAGCGCACAGTGAGTGCTCCCTCAACACAGGGACCTTGGGCATCCATAGTCCACACATATATTCAAAACATTTTGAAAGTACCAGGCATGTTGCCAGTCTTGTATGGTTTCTTCCCTGTATGGAACTGGTGGAAAACATTTCAACTAACCATCCATGCATTTTTAAATGATACCTTCTAAGATGAAGCTGAGCCTGACCATTCTTAGCATTTAACTCACTCGTTTCTTGTTCTTGCAGGTGGCATCGGTTGTGATGGTCCAGACAAAGGACAGGCCCGTAAATGTCTTGACGCAGTGGAAATTTACAATGTAGATGCGGATTTCTGGAGAGATGGTCCCCCGATGCCCTATCCTCTGCTCTCCCTTAGAAGCAATTCAAGCAGTGCAGGTTCAGTGGAAGGAAAGCTGTATGTTTGTGGTGGTTACCGTGGGGCAGGTAGGTGTCAACAGTTATCATCAGGCCATTACAGAATGTTCACATTACATCTCAAACTGCATCTAAGCAGGGTATCTAACCTTTTATTTTTGTTATGAATACTACAGCTTTGTTATGGCTCAAAAGAAAAAGTAGTGTTAAACATTACATTGTACTGTACATATACTATATGGACAAAGAAAACACCTGACCATCATACCTACCTATATGCCCAAAAAATATGTGGATATTCCTCAAAATCATTGAGTTCCGGTGTTTCTAGTGAAGAGTACTGTTAATACTACAGCATACAAAGACATTTTGGACAATTGTGCTCTTCCATCCTTGTGGTAATAGTTTTGGGAAGACCTTTTTTAATGTTTCAAAATGACTATGCTCCTGTGTACAAAGCCAATCCATAAAGACATGGTTTGACCAGTTTGGTGTGAAGGAACTTGAGTGGTTTGCACAGAGCCATGACCTCAACCCTACTGAACACCTTTAGGATGAATTGGAATGCCAATTGTGAGCCAGGTCTCCTCATCTAGCATCAGTGCAGGACTTCACAAACTCTCTTTTGGCTGAATGGACATAAATTTCTACAGATACCCTCCAAAGTCTTGTGGAAAGTCTTTCCAGAAGAGTGGTGGCTGTTATAACTGCAAAGGCAAGGCATTATAATACCCACGGTTCTAAAATGATATGTCCAACAAGCTCACATGGGTGTGATGGTCAGGTATTGACAAAGGTTTGGTTAGCTAAAAGCAATCTCTCAGTTGGTAGAGCCCAGGTAGCAGAAATAAAAGTTATTTGATGACTTTGCAAGACATGTTTTGGTACATCCATGGTGGGTGTAAACAGTGGAGGTGGGTGAGGAGCAACATGAATAAATAGAAAGTCTTGGAAACGCTAGCCATCTGAAGAACAATGATCACTTTATAAGTGTATGACATAAAACATCTCCAACCTGTTTTACGGGATTGGGTTCCCTCTTCTTTATGGCTTTGATCTGTTAGTTGTGGGCACTACAGTCTGTGGCTTAATCAAGATCATCAATAGTAAGGAACAGGCAACCCTCCTGTACTGAGGCCAGACTCTATTGGGTCAGAAGGGAGACCCAGGTTACCTCCCCCCAAAGGAAATGCCACACATTCACCTAACTCTTGCTGGCCAATTCAGCTCATCTTTCTCTTGTTATGTTGTGAGCAGAGGCAGCCACACTCTATTTGGTCAAGGGTGTTGTCTATCATACTCTCACTGGTGCCACCCATGGCTTCTTGCTCACAATGTGTCAGCGAATGGCTGGGACTAGCAGAACGGAGCCACCCTGGCAAGTGATGTGAGTGTTGCCCCCTTAGTGATGGGTAAGTGCCCCTAGTTTCCTGTCCTTTGTCACCCACCCCAACTTTCCTTAGCTGCTAGCAATGTACATTGCCTGGAATGCCCACACTTCCACACTTCCACTGCCTGCCATTTCCTGTTGTGTCTCCTGGACAAGAAGAGAAGGAAAATGTCAAACAGGAAAAAAACTGCTGATTCTATTCCATCCAAGACTGAAAAAAAAATACATTGCGGCTATTTGTACTTTAAATGAATCTCAAAGTCTCAATTTTCAAAATTAAGAGATCTATGAAAGAGATGTATGCATTGCTTGTTCTATTCTAACCGGGAGGGAGGAAGACGGTATGTCGTAGGATAGGCCGAAAATTCTTCACGATAGTAAATAGATCTTTTCTTCTTTGGTTGTAAGGAATTGTAAAGAATCCATCAAAGATAAAAAACGTCTTTATTCCACTGTGAGGGGGGTGAACTGTTAACCTTACATTGAAAAGATGCTCAGAGCGCTTTTTGTATTGAATTTGTAAGTATGGATTGTGTGAGCTGAATTTTTCAGAACTGTCCAGTGCAGAGACTTCGCATGAAGTGCTGTAAATGGTAAGTCATGGCGACCAATAAGATTCCACTTTGCAGAACAGTCAGTACATGGAAATGTTTAAAAAAATTTCAAGCCTACTCCTATAAATCTGATCCAGCACAGTGGCTAAATGGCTAGCACTTCTGCCTGGCAGTACTCAGGTCATTGGTTCAAATACCAGCCATGGCACCACCAGCCTGGTGTTTGCATGTTCTCCCTGTGCCTGCGTGGGTTTCCTCCCACACTCCAAAGACATGCTGGTAGGTGAATTGGCTCCTGTCTAAATTGGCCCTAGTATGTGTGTGAGTTAGGGACCTTAGACTGTATGCCCCTTGAGGGTTAGGGACTGATGTGAATGTACAATATATATGTAAAGTGCTGCGTAAATTGACAGCGCTATATAAGTACCTGAAATAAATAAATATTTGTAAACTTACTTTATAGAGATCCCCACATATATGCTGCATTGAATTCAATGAATATGCACTGGATGAGAGTCATACTCCATAGTAAAATCAATTTATTGTTTTATTCCATTCTACTCTCCTTTTATCCCTCTGTGACAACAGGAAAATAAGTGAGTAGAGCACGTGTCACTGGGCCAGGGAGACATCTTTTTTGAATGTTCCTCCCACACTTTACATGATATAGGAATAAAGAGATGCATAGACACATACCTGTATAAATTGTGCAAAAAGGGTGCAAATATGTTTATATGGTTGATTTACTAAAACTGGAGAATGCAAAATTTGGTCAAGCTGTGCATGGTAGCCAATCAGCTTCTAACTTCAGCTTGTTCAATTAACCACTTGCCCTCCGGAAAGGTTTTACCTGGCACTGCGCTACTTTGAGTGATGGGCAAGTGCCCCTAGTTTTGCTAAAAAAGCGCAAATGTGGTAAAACGCTGGAAACCAGCATTTTTGGATTTTTTTTGACCAAAAAAAAAATTGTTTTGGTTAAAAAAAAAACACTAAAAAATGCAAACGCGGCTAAACGCTAATGCAAAAACGCTAAAAAAAGCTGAAAACTCACGTTTTTAACGTGACTTTACACAGTTAACAGTACGTTACCAACGTTATACCCAATAATCTAGGGCTGCATTTAGAGGCATAAACAAAAATGCCAGATGCCCCTGGACTTTGCTTCAATTAATATACCTCAATTGCCACAGGTAATGTGCTGAACGTAGCTACTGTAATCTACTATCATTGCCATAGTTAATGCACCAGCCATTGCCACAGTTAATGTACCAGCCATTGCCACATTTAATATACCAGCCATTGCCACGTTTAATATACTAGCCATTGTCACAGTTACTGTACTAGCCGTTGTCACAGTTAATATACTAGCCATTGTCACAGTAAATGTACTAGTTTTTGCCACGTTTAATATACTAGCCATTGTCACAGTTAATATACTAGCCATTGCCACAGTTAATGCACCAGCCATTGTCACATTTAATATACCAGCCATTGCCACGTTAATATACTAGCCATTGTCACAGTTAATATACTAGTCATTGCCACGTTTAATATACTAGCCGTTGTCACAGTAAATGTACTAGTCATTGCCACGTTTAATATACTAGCCATTGTCACAGTTAATATACTAGCCATTGCCACAGTTAATGCACTAGCCATTGCCACAGTTAATATGCTAGCCATTGCCACAGTTATTGTACTAGCCATTGTCACAGTTAATATACTAGCCATTGTCACAGTTAATGTACTAGTCATTGCCACGTTTAATATACTAGCCATTGTCACAGTTAATATACTAGCCATTGTCACAGTTAATGTACTAGCCAGTGCAGCAATTAATTTACTGGACATTGCTACAGTTAATATACTAGCCATTGCCACAGTTAATATACTAGCCATTGCCACGTTTAATATACCAGCCATTGCCACAGTTAATGTACTAGCCATTGCCACAGTTAATATACCAGCCATTGTCCCAGTTAATGTACTAGCCAGTGCAACATTTAATGTACTGGACATTGCCACAGTTAATGTGTTAGCCATTGCTCCATTGAATATACCATCATTGCCACTGTTAATTTACTAGCTATTGCCCCACTAAATATGCCATCACTGCCACAGTTAATGTACTGGTGATTACCACAGTTAATGTACAGCAATCACTACAATTCATACACTGGATATTGTTACAGGTAATGTACCATCATTGCCACAGAAATTTTGACAGCTATTGCTACAATCAATATACCATCATTGCCACAGTTACTGGACTAGCCATTGATACAGATATTTAATTACTCATTGTCACAGTTACTGTACTGGCCATTGCCACAGTTAATATGTCAGCCATTGCCCCAGTTAATGCACTAGCTGTTGCCTCATTGAATACATCATCATTGCCATTATGTATACTGGTCATTTCCACAACAATTGCTATGATGAATTTGCCATTGCTACAGGTAATGTACTATTATTGCCACTGGTATTGTGCCAGCTATTGCCACTATTAATATACCATCATTGCCACAATTGTACTAGTCTTTCCACAGTTAAATAATTGTCAATTGCCACATTTACTTTACTGGCCAGTGCCACAGTTAATGTATTGCCCATTTTAACAGTTACTATACCAACCAAAGCCACAGTTAACATTACTAGCCATTGCCACAATATACTCACCATTATCAACGTCAACATGAGCAGTCAAAAAAAAAAAAAAAAAGCTATATTTCTGCAAAAACTACATGCAATGCACAACTGCACATATACAGCTGGATGTGACCGTAATCCGATGAATGCAGCGCTACGCCAAACATCGCTGATGGGAAGAGAGAGATTTATAAACCTCTGTTTAGATAGAATCATTGAGTAGTCAAGAACATTAAATTATATTTCATTTCAATCAGGATAATAGAGAGATATCACTAGCCATCTTCTCTGCCCTCCGATAACCCCCAAAACACCATTATGGAGCTTCACCTCTCTGAAAAGGATTAAAGGCGCATTGCTCATCCCCGCACCGCTGATAAAATTAGACTCTAATCCCTCATCTTGTTCGGCTCTGGAATGAACATGTCAGGAGGATTGCCCAGAAAGACATTCGTCTGGACGTCTTGCAGGAAGATGGACAAGTGTCTAAAACTAATGTGAGCGA